CATATACCTATATTTTGATACAAATATTGATTTAAATTTAGGGTCACACTAAAGTTATCAAGAATTCAAAAAAAATATTTAATCTGATAAGTAAAAATATAAAGTTTATTTATTTTATGTATATATATATAAGTAATACATAAATTTAATAATGTTTTAGAAAAAAAAAACATACACTTGAGTCTATATCTCAGACCATTATTTCTTAGCGTTACAATCGGTAAGGCAAATTTAGTATACTCTTCGAACATACGTTCGTATGAGTATAAAGAACCGTACGAACTTATTTACGGTATAAAGAACTGTACGAACAAAGAGATTTATTTAGATAATATTTGGTCACACGTTTATATATAGTTAAAATATTACTAAATTAAAAGATAATTTAAAATTGAAGTTAAAAATCATATTTCATTGGTATAGTTCAGCTAAATACTCTATAGGTAGACTCTAGGTATAAATAATTTTAAGTATATTTTTCTATAAAAATATTAAAAATTTAAATTCCAATTATAGTTTGAATCAAATTGTAACAAAATGTAGTTCATTTTACATAATTTAATTATGTAGTTCCGAAATTCGTTATTTATTCCAAACGCATTGAATTCAATTTACTTAACAAAACTCTATAGGTGATTTTTGGAAATAAAAACCAAATTTAAGTTATTTACAATTTTATTTGAATTCCCATAAATTCTGACTTTTCTAATTAGCAAAATAATTATGACATAATATACTATATAAAATTAAAAGACAATAAATTCTAAATCTAACCTATAAACATAATTTTTTTGAAATAATATATTTTTGACATAGCACGTTTTTTTTTCTTAAAAATTTTAGATTTGTATATTTATTTTATGTATACGAATTTTTATTTCAAGTATAGCTTTGATTTCTTATAAAGACCCACTTGCTATACAATAACATCAAATATTCATTAAACATTCATTCATACAAATTGGAATTCTTATATCCTTCATATAATATTATAAATGTACATATATAAAAAGATTTATAAAGAGGCAAATTTTTTTGTAAGAAAAAAAAAAAAAATTTTCTATATTATAGTTTTCCCTTTCAAAATGTTTGAGTGAATATTTTTTTTTCTATATCCTTTCTGTATTATTACTTTTTTAATGCCTCTTTGTCAACAATGAAAATGTGCAATAAAATGTGAGTAGATTTCTTGAATATACTCCTTTAATACAAAATTTTTTAAGTATATACATTTTAATGGTATAAACAACAAACATATACTTATTATAGTTATTTAAAACAAAATTCATTTTGTTCGAAATGCAACCAAAATTCAAAAAAATATATATATATATACTCGTATATATATATATAAAGATTCAAGGAATAGTACACATGCTCGGAAAAATATTCAAAATGTTTGAACCAACAAAAACAATGAAAAAAAGCCGACATTACCTTTAAATACACATATACACATATTTTGTATACATTTGTATATAAGATTTAAGTTCGAACATTTATAATAAAAATTTTAACTAGATTTTATATAACGGTATACGCCGTATAGGCTTTTTTTTGTGCTAATACCTTGAATGAAATAACTTTATTTTTTTTTTTTGTTTTTTTTTTTTTTTTTTTGAAAAAAAATTTCTATATATATAAGTAGAAATCAAAAGATAGTTTATTTAGTCCACTTTTCCACTTTATGATATAATCGACTTTATAGATCAAAAAAATTATTCGAATAACGACGGTAATTTAGATTCGGTGAACAAATTCGGTAAATCGACGGTGAACATAAAAAAAAAAAATTGGTTTTCAATAATGTCCTTTTTTCTTTTTTTGATTTTATCATTGAATGTGTAATATAGTGTATGAAAGAGAATATAATATACGTATGTACACATGTGTATAAACATATTCTTATGCAAAAATATTATTATATAATTTGAATATAGTCTTATTGCATAAGATTTCACAAATAATTCAATTTAATGTGGAGAAAAAACTTGATATTTTGAGAATTTCTTATTAAATTCCAAAAAAAAAAAAAAAAAATTATTAAAAAAATATTATTTTTCTAATATAAAATTTTGATTTCAATTCAAAAACTTTTTAAATAATATACGAATTACATCATTGTTTTCTAAAGCTTTTATGTTTAACTTAAATTTTAATTTCTGGATATTATCAGTTAATTTTTATTTTTTTTTTTTTTCGATTCCCCATAAAAATGATGTGTCACATAATAAAAATTTCTTATTATAATATTTATAAACTCTCTAGTATGTGTACATACTGTGTAAAGATTATTTAAGTATATAATATTAAAGTATAAGCATACTTGATTATAAAAACTAGAATTCTGTGATAAAAAACTTAATTATATTGTGTTGAACATAATTTTTATTTATGATTCAATTTCATTATAATTTTATAAATTTTAACATTTTAAAATATAGTTTGTCAATTAAATTAAGTATAAATCATACGTACCTTATTAATAAATTTATTTTAATTAATGAAGTCGTTAAGCCTACTATTTTTTTTAATTGTAAGTATTATGTAATTTTCATTTATTATTACTTATATAACATTTAGTAAACATAATTGTATTTTACAAATAACTGAATTAATAATTTTTGTTTTTAATTGATTAAAAAAAAAATAAAATAAGTTAATAAATTTTCTTAATAAAGAATAATTTTGCATTATACTTGGTTGTTATATAATGTATGCATGTATATATATATATACTTCCGTATATGCATATAAAAGAACACATGTCTATGATATAAAAATTCCTTTAGATATTGCATAACATTCTCAATTTCCATTCAAATAACGGAACTTGTATTGTTATATAGATTTTATTATATAAGTATGCTCTTATATGAATTACTTCCTTTTTTTTCAATTTACTTATTTTTTAATATTAAATGAAGGTCTAAAGGACTGTCTCCATATACAGACATATATTTTATATACGTTTATGTATACTATGATTTAAAATGTGCAAATATGCGATAATCAACATGTGCAGTCATATATGTATATTATTCTAAAATTTATCAAATTGCAGAAAATATTTTTTTAATATATTTTAACATCCTGCATTATTTTGAGGAATTTAAGAAGAAATTCTACTACATAAACCATAAATTTATTATATAAAAATAAAAAAAGAAAAAAACACATTTTACACAAATTTGCACCCGCATCTGATACCTTCCCAAAAAATGAGAGAACATCCCTAACACATGATTTATTTATAAAAAAAAAACAAAATATTATCAACTTAAAAAATCTCTTCCGAGTTTTTAATTTTATTGTATAACATGAAAATGAAAAAAACAAAAACAAAATAAACGCCTTTCCTCTTATTTATTTTTGCTTTTTTTTTTTTTTTTGCCAATATTTAGAAACAATAATTTTACCAAACAAACTATACAACCAGACAAGTCACCCCAAAATATTTTTCTTTTATAAAATTAATAAATTTTGTTTTAATATTTTTTTTTTTTTTTATAAAGTTCATAAAATCCTCATAGAAAAAATAATGTTCACAGGTAATTGACACCAAAATTGTATAAAAGAGAATGATAATAAAAATTTATAATAAACAAAAAGAATAATAATAATAAATCGCGTTTTACTTTACTCTAAAAATTATAATAATGTATGTATGTGCACATATATGTGTGTCGTTATCAGAACACAATCGCTCGGTGCATAAGAGTAACACTGAATATGATTTAAATTTTGTTGTGTTTCAATTTAGGTTTTTTTTTTTTATTATTATGCTCTTTCAATCCGATGAATAGGTATTGGGGCAAAAAATAATTCATTAACTTTATTTTTTCTTTTTTTAAACAAATAAATAATGTTTGAACAACATGTATAACATGTACTTATAAATACAAAATATATGTATTAACAATGTACATAAATACATAATAAACCTAAATTATCACAATATTATCCCGTTCAATTATGCAATTGTACAAAATAATGTTTACCATACCATACAATATTCTATATTTGAGTTGAAAACATAAAAACTTGACAACAAAAAAGAAAACAAATTTTCTGTTTGAGTTCGATTCAAACAAAATATTATATCAATAAAAAATAACAACAACAAAAAAAAAAAATTTAATAACAAAAATAATCTTTCTTCTCTTATCAACAAATCAAGGCGTAATGAAAATTTTTATGAAAAGAACAACACAAAAACAAAAATGAGAAAAAAAAAATCAATTTAAAGAGTAAGCAAGCAATTATTGTTATCGAAGTTGAAAGACAGTTATAATCATCATTAGTTTGATTGGAATTTAAGAGGTTGGTTTTTGTATTACAGTAATTATTATAAAAATATGAAAAAAAAAATTAAAAGAGAACAAATTTTTTTTCAGTACTGTGATGCCAATTACCGTCATAACACAAAATATATATTTTTTTTTCTTTTTTGTTATATTGTTTTTGTTTCACAAAAACAACTAAATATTATTATTAGTTTTGTATGAATTAAGTTGAGAGGGTTCAAAATTCAAAATATTTTCTAATATTTTAGTTTTCACATTTACACAATAAATAAGTGTGATATTATAGAAGTTTGATATTCAAATGAATATTATTGTCACATACAGTCAAATATGTATGTATATACATATTATATGAAAATCTCTTTGTAGAATAAAAATTTTTTAGTTAATATAAGTAAGGTGTTATACATAGAAGTGTGTATACGTGCCGTTTTTTTTTAAAAATAAAAATATAATATTGTGAATTGTTAGGTTGAATTTGAACTCAGTTCGTGTTTGATAGTTGAAATCAATGGTTGATTTTAAAACGGTAAAATTTTTTTTAAAAATAAAATAAACGGAAAAACATCAATAAAAGAGTATTTCAAATTTTCTTTAAATTAAATGATCTTAAATATTAAAATTGAAATTATCATTTGTTAAAATTAAATAATTTGTTAAAATAAAAATCTTGTTACACAATCGCAAAAAAAAATTTTTTTTTCTAAATTAATGAAAAAATTTTCAAAATAAATGAATTGCATAAGAAAAAAAAATCGGGTTTTATATCGGCAAAAATTTCGTTAATTAAAGAAAAGATTAATGATTATTTATGCATATTGCATTCAAATGAGTATACACGCACGCACACATCACATAAAATCAACCAACTATACCATACCTCATATGCATAAAATATTAATTGATTATGATTAATTAATAAAAAAAAAAAAAACAAAAAATTTAAATAAATGATTTGATATGAGTCGAAAGTGAATTTTAACAAACGATAAAGTGACTTGAAAAGAGAACACCAACCCAAAACAAAAAAAAAAAAAAAAAGAAACATACGTGCCACGTGAATTTTCTTTTTTGGTTGCCTTTTTTACTTCTCGTATAAGTCAAAATGAATTACCAAACTCATTTACTTAATAAGGGATTAATAGATGTTAAAATTTGTGATTAATAATGTAAATTAAATGTTCATCACTTATCACCTTCATTTCACAGTATATAAAGAAGCAAAAACGACATCATTTAAATTTAAACAGTTTCGTCGTTTTTTTTTTTTCAAAAAAAAAAACTCGATAAATCATTCCCAATCCAAAAAAGGAAAAGGGCAAGTTAAAAAAAAAATATCACGAAGAGATAAAAAAAAAATTATAAAACAACGATATTCGAAATGCTTTCAACATTGCAATAAAAATGATGTGAATTGCCGTTTGAATGAAGCTATTAAGCCTATTTTGTTTTATTACTGTAAGTTAATTAAATTTATATTTGAAAAACAAAACCAAAATACTTAATTATCTTCATTATTGCAAGAGTGTATTTATTATTTTTTTAATTTTTTGTGAAATATATTTAAAAATTTCATTTTCATTGCATTACGTATAGGTAGGTTTTTCGACATCATAATGATATATGGGCGATTCTTCAGGAAAAAAACATGTATAAACGAAAATGCTACCATAACCTTTTTTGACTTACATACTTATATATTTTTTTTGTGGTTTTTATATAACGCGGGGGATTAACAACAAAAAAGCAATTTAATTTATTGATAATAGCACGAACTTTTAACGTATTATAAAACTATACTATATTGTAGTACAAAGTGTTTTTTAAGAAACCTTTTTTGGGGATGATTTTATTAAATTTTTTATACGATATTTTATTTATTGAGTTTATATATTTGAATTGAAAATAAAAACATATTATAAACACTATGCATTAGTTAACAGCATATCTTTCATTTTAACAGTTAACAGTTAATATATAACAGTTAGTTTAGATTATATTGAAACAATATTATATTATGCAATTATTATGATTTAAACAAGAGCAACAAAGTTACAAGTTCAATTCGAAATTTTATTTAATTAAAAAATAGCAATGAATTCCAATTTAAAAAAATCAATTTTAAAAATATACTTGCAAAATTTTTGAGCCGTTTTGGAATTTGAAATTTAAAAAATTTGAAGCCATAATTTTTTATTCAATACAATAATTGAAAAAATAAATTCAATTTATTGATTTGGTATAAATACTTTTTAATGAAACTGTAATTCCAAATCATAATTCCAGTACATACTAACAAACGAGTAATTATGTAATATAAAAATTTAATTACCTAAATTGTATGTGACCGAATTATTTAACATCCGAAATGACCACCCAAACTAAAAATATTTCTATTCAATTCTAAAATTTAATATCGAAAAAAAAAATATTTTATAAAGAATTAAATTCCTTCAATCTATACACAATCTACATTCATATTATGTACATACTTCCGCTTTCGTTAATATTCTGTAAAATTTTATACAATTTAGATTTTACAATTTAGATTTAAAAGAAAAAAAGAACAATGAATTAAACAATATTGTCTTAAGATCAATGATGATCTGATGAAAATTTAAAAATTTCATTTAATTACCTTAAAATTTTCAGAGTCGCCTAACACAAAGAAAACAAAAAAAAAACCTTATAAAATTCTAAGAAAATTTTTTTTCAAAATTTCACGGTTATATAACATTATAATTGTCATATATATATATATATATATATATATATCATATGCCTGTTTGTATATTGTATAAGATTTTGTTATTACATTATTATAAAGAAATCCTTATATATACCATTATTGTCATTGCTGTATGCATTTCATATATAGTTATAGAAAAGCATATATACATTTTGTAAATACAAACAATTATATATTGTGAGGAAAATGGAATTATTTCGACTAAAAATAATTGAAAATTGATTTAAATCGGTCAGCTTATTAAAAGAAAAAAAAAAATTATGTAACAAAAATAAATTTCATGCTTTATATAGATAAAATCTTGGTCGTATATATAATTGGTACGGTGGCCTAATTTAATTTTTTCTTTCCCAAAAATATACCATATGTATAGTGCATTATTTTTTTTGGAAAATAAAAATCTTCACAATATTTTATACATAATACCTTCAGAATTTCATTATAGATCTCTTTAATATAATTCAATATCATTTATATTATATTCTACAACAATATAAATAGGACATAATATCGTCGGTTAAAAAGCAAAAGGCACTAAGTGCATTTTTTGAGAATTCGGAATTCATAAATGAATTAAATCAGAATAATATAATCTTTGTTGTGGCAAAATATCATGCAAATCCAGAATGTAGTTTATAAATCCAGAAATTGAAGAGACCTATCCCATTCAACTAATTGATTAGTTTTACAATTTTACGATTTTTTCAAATTAAATTTACTCAAAACACAGTTTCCCGACTTAATGCTTTCTGCTTTTTAACCGACGATATTATTTATAACATAGAATGTATGTGTATAGATACTACATATCTATGTACCTTCATATACAATTTTAATTTACCATAAACTTTTTAATTCTTTTGTTATTTTTTTTTTATTTTACTCATTAAAATTTACTACTTCTTTTCATTTTCATATACGATAATACTTTTATAATGAACAAATATACTTTTTTTTTTTTTTTAATAAAAAAAAAAAATTCTTTCTACTGCATTTTTTAATTCCTTTACATCTTGATTTAATTTTCATGTACATACAACATACATATACCTACATATATTATGAGCATGCATATTATATACATACATACATTATGTACATGTAAGTATTGTATAAATAAATATTTTATATAGTACTCCGTATATAAAGATTATAAATGTAGGTGAACGCAATTTCAAAATACTTAATCGGGAAATAATGGGGGAATTTATATTTCTGTTATTTAAATCGTATATAAGTGTACATGTATATGTATGATATGTATGTACATATAATTTTTTTAAAACATTTTATTCTACAGATTATAGAATTTATGTATGGATTTTCGGCTTAATTTTACTTTTTTTTTATTATAAAGTTCGGGAGTTAAAAGTTCTCTTATATTTTTTGGTGTTTTTTTTTTTGTTTTAAAGATTGTTTTCTTCCTAAAACCATTCTTCTACATTATTATAATATTAAAGAGAGAAAAAAAAAATAATTAATTAAAGAATGAAAGAACAAAAAAAAACAAAACCACAAAAGCAAAAAAAAAAATTTGTTTTACTTCTCTTTATGCTCTCGTTTATATTATTGTATATAGAAAAAATGTTGTTTGTTACCTTTTGTAACATGTTACCAATTCATTCTCATATATGTATGTATGTACATTTATTTTATAAAAAAAAGAGACAAGTGAATAGAATGCGTGAGTTTAAAAAGAACTTGCAACAATTTATGCTGTAAAATTAAAAAAAAAATAACAATAAGAATGAAAACAAAAAAAAATTAACATAAAATTAATGTGACTGCATTTTACACCACCAGGAGTAAGTATATAGCCTATATTATTGGCATTTCATCCACAATAATCATTCTGAAAAAAAAAAACAAAAAAAAAAAATATGAGAAAAAAGTAAAAAAAAAAAAATTTTTATCTTCACATCTGCAATACTTGAATTTCAAATATCTACCATAAATACATGTATACATACATATATATATAAACATATGAGTACACGTATTTAAAAAGGTGCGTTTTTCTGGGCCTCCCGTGCATATTTATATTATGTATACAAATGCATAATGTACCCACTAAAATATGTACGGACGCATAAAAGAAAAGAAAAAAAAAACAATAATAATAATAATATATTAAAATTTTATTATTTAATTAAAAGAACATGCGAAAGAACTAAAAAAAAAAAATATAAGAAAAAAAGCACGCAACCCAAAAACAATCAAAACTTTAACTTTGTTTAATTTTAATTGAAAAATATGATCGTCATCTAACTGTACATATGACTAACTCCATCTACATATACTATATATTCTCGTACACAAAAATATATAGTATACCAAATATATAGAATCAGAGTATAAATATGGGCAGAACATTATTTCCTCCTTCTTATATATTTTATTAAAATACTTACTAGAATATCTGCCAGTTATACACCATTTTCATAGTCGGTTCTTTTCTCTTTCCATTTACTTTGTTTATACTTATGTAAGTATATATATATATAACTTTATTTTACCATTTTTTCTGTACATTTATAGAAAAAATGATAAAATTCAAAAAGTACTTTACTGCAAATTGAATTTGCACAAAAAAAAAAAAATAAAAATAAAAGAAAAAATTAAATAATTAAAAAAAAAAAAAAATTACATTTGAATTTCCTTTTAATTCTTGTACAAATTCAATAAAATCGTAAAAATGCAACAAAAACAATAACAGCAGAAAAATCAATTCTATCTATAATTGATCTATTCGTCGGCAATTCGATTATAATTTCAACAAAATGAAGTAATTAACATTCCTTTTTTGCCGCATAAATAAAAAAAAAAAATCAAATAAAATCAAAAAAAGGCGCATACCTTCCAATACTTTACTTACGGAAATTTCACAAAAATGCAATTATGACGTTCATTTAATTTCATTTAGTGTTTTGCTATTATAACAGCAGAAATGAAATGAGCAAAACAAGAAAATAATAAAACTTAAAAAATGAACACACAAAAATTATATTAGCATTTTTATAAATTTGTTTTCTTTTTTTTTGTATTTTAAATTGCTTTATTTTGAAAATGCTTATAGACAAGTGGTGTGTGTATATAGTTCAACAAACAACACTACTTATACGCAGTTCATCTACTCCTTCTACACTATAATATACTGCACATTATGTAGGTACATGTATATGTACACTTAATTGACTAAATTCACTTATACAAAATGAATACATTTTTTTTTTTTTTTACTCTATAAAATATTAAAAAACAAAATATTTATGTGTGTTATTTTTTTTCCAACTCCCTTTATCTATATACGAGAAATGAATGTTTTTCGTGAGATAAAGTTATAATGCAATTTTTTACATCATGTTTTTCTCCTTTAAATTTTTCTGTTTTATTTGCGAAATATATAATTGAAAATGCATCAACATTCCAAAGATTTTTTAATAAAAAATTTACAAAAAAAAATTTAACTAGATTTTAAAAAGTTGAAAAACACAAAAAATATATTTAAAAAATAAAACAAAAATACATAAAACAGTAGCGCAAAATAATAAAAAAAAAAAAAGAACACTACTTAAATTCATTACATACAACAACAACAACAAAAAAAAAGTTATTTTTCATCAGGAAATTATTGATTGATTTGAATGCACAACTCCCTTGCATCAATAAATTACCATATACATGTATGTACATGTACATAATATTAGAG